GCAAGTCAGATCGAGGCCACATCAATTCTTGGCTGGAGGACATCCTGCTTCAGTACTCCTCTCAAGAGCCCTCACCCATGATGCAGCTAGTGCAACTGTGGAAGGCTTCACAGCTGAACTCCAGGCAAACAACCAATACACCGATAAAATACATGTTTACTGGACATTTAAACTGCCGAACGTTTTGTCTTTTTTTTTCCATCCAGTACTGAGATCTACACAGCTCTGCCACAAGGCACAGTCATGTCTCGCAGAGTAGGGGGCCTGATATCTATTTGCTGCAGTTTCACTTTTACTTACAGGTCTTTTTCCTACCACCAGCCTTTGTTTATTAAAAAGAGAAGAAGCACATTTGATGACATTTATAAATGTCACACACATGCCACATTAAATAATGAAACACATGTTCCAGAAAACATTTGACCTATACTACAACAATATTTTGGTTGGGTTCCTGGCTCTGGAAACATTTTGGATAGCTGGTCAAATCATTTCTTTGGATTGTATGACATCGCCCAGCAAAATGACTTTACACCTGCAGTGAAAGCATATGCCCACCAGAGGGAGCTACCAGTAAGAGACCTAAACTCTCCCAGAGAGGACCACGCTTCCTCCAGGCACCTTCAAGTGAATCTAAAGACCTTTTTTTTGGGGGGGGGATAAAGTGGGGGAGGGGTTGAACCTTTGTCAGCTTATTACTATTATTCTTTGTGTGCCGACTGAAGAGATTTACCCTTTCTATTTAAACTTGTGAGTCATGTTGCCGGGACAGAATGTGATGGAAAATCGAACATTTTAGTTATTGCTGAAGGTAAGAGAAGATCTTCTAATAAAGACTTCTGTTTTGCTGAAAACGTCCTTGTTTGTCACCAATACATAAAATGAGGGACAGTCTCCCCAATGGGTCACAGACATCAACCGCTCACCCCCAAAAAACAGGGGTTTTAACCATTCCTTACACTACCCAAACCATAAAAAAGTATCATCTTTAAAGAGTCCCAGTCACTATGTCTCATTTTCTATTGTAGAGCCTTGTAGAATTAGATCTTAGTATATATGGTTCTTTCAGGTTCACCATACATGTTACCTATTGACTGTACAATCTCTGTACAACCTACATAATCTATCAATCAATTTGTATCCAGTCAGGCAGACCCTTTGATCTACATGTTGGCTGATCTAATGGAGATAGTACAGTCATATTGTACAGTTGCAAGAAAAAGTAAGTGAACCCCTTGGGATTACGTGGAGTTTTGCATGAATTGGGCATAAAATGTGCTCTGAACGTCATCTAAGTCACAACAATAGAAGAACACAGTCTGCTGAACATAATACTACACAAACATTAGATGTTGCCATGGTTTAATTGCACATAACATGTAAACATTCACAGTGCAGGGAGGAAAAAGTATGTGAGACCCTAGCTTAATGACTTCTCCCAGAGCTAATTGGAGCCAGGAGTGAGCCAACCTTGACTCCAATCAGTGTGATGATATTGGATGTGTTGCTGACAGCTGTCCTGCCCTTAAAAAAACACACACCAGTTTTGGGTTTACTGGTTTCAAGAAGCACTGTCTGATGTGAACCATGCCTCGCAGAAAAGAGCTCTCAGAAGACCTACGATCAAGAATTGTTGACTTGCATGAAGCTGGAAAGGGTTACAAAAGTATCTCCAAAAGCCTTGATATTCATGTGTCCACGGTAAGACAGACTGTCTACAAATGGAGAAAGTTTAGCACTGTTGCTACTCTCCCTAGGTGTTGTCGTCCTGTAAAAATGACTGCAAGAGCACAGCGCAGAATGCTGCATGAGGCAAAGAAGAATCCCAGAGTGTCAGCTAAAGACCTACAGAAATCTCTGGCACATGCTAACATTTTTGTTGACACATCTACAATAAGGAAAACATTAAACAAGAATGGAGTACATGGGAGGACACCACGGAGGAAGCCATTGCTGTCCAAAAAGAATATTGCAGCACGTTTGAAGTTTGCAAAAGAGCTCCTGGATGTTCCACAGCACTACTGGCAAAATATACTGTGGACAGATGAAACCAAGATTGAGTTGTTTGGGAAGAACACACAACACTATGTGTGGAGAAAAAAAGGCACAGCACACCAACATCAAAACCTCATCCCCACTGTAAAACATGGCGGAGGGGCATCATGGTTTGGGGCTGCTTTGCTGCCTCAGGGCCTGGACGGATTGTTGTCATTGATGGGAAAATGAATTCCAGAGTTTATCAAGACATTTTGCAGGAAAACGTACGACCATCTGTCCGCCAACTGAAGCTCCGCAGAGGATGGGTGATGCAACAGGACAATGACCCAGAGCATACAAGTAATTCAACAAAACAATGGCTGCAACAGCACAGAATACGCCTTCTGGAGTGGCCCAGTCAGAGTCCTGACCTCAACCCGATTGAAATGCTGTGGCATGACCTTAAGAGAGCGATTCACACCAGACATCCCAAGAATATTGCTACACTGAAACAGTTTTGTCAAGAGGAGTGGTCCAAAATGACTCCAGATCGTTGTGCAGGTCTGATCTGCAACTACAGGAAACGTTTGGTTGAGGTTATTGCTGCCAAAGGAGGGTCAACCATTTATTAAGTCCAAAGGTTCACATACTTTTTCCTCCCTGCACTGTGAATGTTTACATGTTATGTGCAATTAAACCATGGCAACATCTAATGTTTGTGTAGTATTATGTTCAGCAGACTGTGTTCTTCTATTGTTGTGACTTAGATGACGTTCAGAGCACATTTTATGCCCAATTCATGCAAAACTCCACGTAATCCCAAGGGGTTCACATACTTTTTCTTGCAATTGTATAGTGTATGGTCGCTCCTTACCCCTGCATTCTGTGTGTTACACACTCCTGCACTTTCCTTACACTCTTTTCTGACCCCTGCAGTCTGTGTGTTACACTAACTTGACCCCTGCAATCTGTGCATTACACATTCCATACTCCTGCAATCTGTGTGTTACACACTCCTACCCCTTGCACTCTGTGTGTTACACTTTTCTGACCACTGCACTCTGTGTTACACTTTCCAGACCCTTTTACTCTGTTACACTTTTCTGACCCTTGCATTCTGTGTGTTACACTTATCTGACACCTACACTTTATGTGTTACACTTTCCAGACTCTTACTCTGTGTGTTACACTTTCCTGATCCCTGCAATTTGTGTGTTACACACTCCTGACCCCTGCGCTCTGTGTGTTACACTTTTCTGACCCCTGCATTCTGTGTGTTACACTTATCTGACGCCTACACTCTATGTGTTACACTTTCCAGACTCTTTTACTCTGTTACACTTTCCTGATCCCTGCAATTTGTGTGTTACACATTCCTGACCCCTGCGCTCTGTGTGTTACACTTATCTGATGCCTACACTCTATGTGTTACACTTTTACTCTGTCTGTTACACTTTCCTGATCCCTGCAATTTGTGTGTTACACACTCCTGACCCGTGCACTCTGTGTGTTACATTTTTCTGACCCTTGCGATCTGTGTGTTACAGTCCCCTGACCCCTGCAATCTGTGTTACTCACTCCTGACACCTGCTGTCTGTGTGTTGCACTTTCTTGACCCCTGCAATCTGTCTATTACACACTCCTGACCCCCTACACGCAATTCCTTATGCACTCCTCACACCTGCACACTGTGTTACATTTTCTTTGAGCTACATATTTGTTGGTAGATCTGACGAAGGTTTTACAATATACACTATATTGCCAAAAGTATTGGAACATTATCAATCATTGGATTCAGGTGTTCCAATTATCTCCATGGATACAGGTGTATAAAATCTTCGCTTAGGCATGCAGACTACTTCTACAAACATTGGTGAAAGAATGGGTCGCTCTCAGGAGCTCAGTGACTCCAAGTGTGGTCCCGTGATAGGTTGTCAGCTGTGCAATAAGTCCATCCGTGACATTTCCTGACTACTAAATATTCCACGCTCAACTGTTAGTGGGATTATAACAAAGTGGAAGCAACTGGGAACAACAACAACTCAGCCAAAAGGTGGTAGGCCACATCACATGACAGAACAGGGTCAGTGCATGCTGAAGCGCACAGTGCGCAGACGTCGCCAACTGTCTGCAGAGTCAATAGCTAAAGACCTCCAAACTTTGTGTGGCCTTCAGATTATCACAACAGTGTGTAGAGAGCTTCATGGAATGGGTTTCCATGGCCGAGCAGCTGCATCCAAGCCTTACATCACCAAGTGCAATGCAAAGCGTTGGATGCAGTGGTGTAAAGCACACCACCACTGGACTCTAGACCAGTGGACACATGTTCTCTGGAGTGACAAATCATGCTTCTCTGTCTGGCAATCCAATGGACATGTCTGGGTTTTGGCGGTGGCCAAGAGAATGGTACTTGCCTGACTGCATTGTGCCAAGTGTAAAGTTTGGTGGAGGGGGGATTATGGTGTGGGGTTGTTCTTCGGGAGTTGGGCTTGGCCCCCTAGTTCCAGTAAAACAAACTTCTAAAGTGTTTCTAAACCCACAATAGTAAAATCAGTCTGTATATGCAGTAAAGCTTTCTTGTTATACTCACTGTGGAAACTAAGGAGTTAATCCTCTGCATTGTGTAAAAGGGCTGTTTGATCCTTTCTTCTCTGTTCCTCCCCTTTTTCAAGGGACCACCTCTTATCTCCAGACTGAACCGTAGGCATGCACATGCTCAGTTTGGTGTGTATTGCTAGAGATTTTTTTTTTTTTTCTTAGGAGAGTGCATGTGATTAGCACAGGGCCAATCAGCACTGTCCAGACAGAGGTCAGGGGATTTCCATCCTCCTAGAGCAGAAAGAAAACTCCTCCTACAAGCTTTAGCTAATGGTGGTGGGCTGGACACAGATAGAAGTCACAAGACTGCTCTAACTGTTGATGGGAATAGGTATTTTGCAGTTTATATTTACTAAAATAAATGCACTTCCATGTTCTGTGTACTGTGGGAGACCAGATATAGTGAATACAGGGCCCAGGGAGACCAGATATAGTGAATGCAGGGCCCAGGGAGACAAGATATAGTGAATGCAGGGTCCGGGGAGACCAGATATAGTGAATGCAGGGTCCGGGGAGACCAGATATAATGAATGCAGGGTCCAAGGAGACCAGATATAGTGAATGCAGGGTCTGGGGAGACCGGATATAGTGAATGCAGGGTCCCGGGAGACCAGATATAGTGAATGCAGGGTCCGACCGGATATAGTGAATGCAGGGTCCGGGGAGACCGGATATAGCAAATGCAGGGTACGGGGAGACCGGATATAGTGAATGCAGGGCCCGGGGAGACCAGATATAGTGAATGCAGGGTCCGGGGAGACCAGATATAGTGAATGCAGGGTCCGGGGAGACCAGATATAGTGAATGCAGGGTCCGGGGGACCAGAGTGACCAGATAGGGAGAGCGGATATAGTGAATGCAGGGTCCGGGGAGACCAGATATAGTGAATGCAGGGTTTAGGGAGAGCGGATATAGTGAATGCAGGGTCGCTTTGATGTTTCTGGCGATATCTCACTTGTGTGGTACAATCACCATTTACATATGCTGGCAGGACAACACATTCACTTGCCTTTGTTCATGAGCACAGAGGTGTGGGAGGGTGGCACCTTAAATTTTTTTTTATTTTGACACTGTTTCTTTAGATTTTTTTTTTTTAATCACTATTATTGCTGTTACAAGAAATGTAAACATCCCTTGTGACAGAAATAGGCAGTGACAAGTACGCTTCTATTCTACTCTTCTTCTGGGGTCTATTAAACCCCAGATGTCTCCTCTTCCCTTACAAGCTTTCCCAATTTAAAAATGGCGCTGTTTACATCCGGGGAAACCAGAAGTGACAAAGTACTAGCTGCTTCCGGTTTCCTATAGCTTTGCTTCCAGGCCGTAAAAAACTCTCTGGTAAGCCGGATTCAGTTCTGGGTTCTCTAGTGGGATGAAGAGCCCGGCCGCCGCCTAAAAAAGCAATCCAGCAGCTACATAGCCGCTACAATGGCTTTTGCAAAAAAAACCGCCTCAATACTGGGATGATGCCTGCAGCTTCTGGCATCATCCTGGCACAACCAAATGTTTTACCACCAAATAAATATGCATTGCAGTCTAAGGATTTTTTTCTAAAAAATAGTTGAAATAAAAAATGAAGAGTGTGGATGAGCCTAAATGGAGGGAGGGAGTGTTGCAATGAGTTTTATGTGGAGTTGGGCTTTAATCTTTGAAGCAATTTATGTTGTATTGATATTTGGTCCACATTCTCTTGAAGAAAACCAACAATCTAATGAGCTTGAGGCAGGTGCCTTCATTTCGCACAAGTGTACATTTTGAAGGTCGATGTGTTGGATGGCAGGAACTAGTTATTCATTCCAAATTAAGTTAGCATTTGGCTGACTTGCAAATTTCACACCTCATCAGGACATAGCAGCTGTTCCTAGTGTGAACATTAGAGGGTCATTTAACAAAGCAAACACGGAGTAATGTGGAAAGAACTAGATATGTTTGTCATAGGAAAGGTAGAGAGATATACAAGGTTTAAAGAGACTATCCTGAAATGCAGGAGATGAGCTTCTTGTTTTGTTGCTGTAAGTATTTGTATCAATGGGAAATGACTTAAAGGACTCGGGACTGTCCAGCCTTCCAACTTGTGAGTCACAACTGCAACTTACAGCAGATGGTAGGGAGGAGTATTGGGAGTTTGTGGCAGGTTTGAGCTGACTTTTTTCATTTTTTAAAGAGATGGATAACCGAAGAGGCAAAAGCTATATGGTTAAACGTTTGTGGACACCTGACCATCACACCTATATGGCCAAAAGGATGTGGTCACCTTTCCAAATGATTACGTTCAGATGTTTTTAGGAAAGGGACTGTGAATGCTACAGCATACAAGACTTTTCTGTTCTAGCATGACGTGGCCCCTGTACACAAAGCCAGATTTACATGATTTGAGGAGTTTGGCGTGGAGGAACCCAAATGTCCTACACACAGCTCTGACCTCAACCCTAATGAGCACCTTTGGTATGATTTGGAATGCAGATTGAGAGCCAGGTCTTCTCCTCCATCATCTATACCTGACCTGGTGGATGAATGGGCACAGTTCCCCACAGACACGCTCCAAATTCTTGTAGAAAGTCTTCCCAGAAAAGTGGAGGATGGTATAGGCACAAAGTGGAGGCCCAATTCTATATCAATGCCCATGATTTTGGCATAGGAAGTCTAACTAAGTGTGGTGATCAGAAGTCCATAAATTTTCAGCCACACATGGTATTCTTAAACTTTCAAATCAATATAAACATTCTATGCTGACTAGAGCAATTTTATTGATTTAATTTACTTAGCCAACTTGATGTAGAAACATTGGAGGTCATGTGCTTTCAAGGCAAGGGACCACAAAATCTTCTCAGAATCCAATAGTCATTTTCTAGGGCTGGTTGTAAAATGACAAGGCCAGAGTAGCTCTGAAAGAAGCGAGGGGAAATCTCTTCAGTGGGGATACAGGACCACCAACTCCTTGATCTATCACAAACTAAGACATTTTTGGCTGCAGTTGGGATATAAAAACTAGCTCTGGGATGCTGTATGGTTTACCATGCAATGCTGCACCCCCCCCCCCCCCCATCTTTGTCTGTTGGAAATACTTACCTTATTGCAGGCTTCCTCTACATTGCATGACTAGACCCCTTAAGTTAGATTTCCATTTATCACCAATTGCTGGGGATAGTCCCCCTTTTTAGTGGTCAGTCCTAGGCAATCAAAGGTTCCTGGTGATGCCACCAGCAGGTGCCCGGAGTCTCGATGCTGATTGCCTGTGTTTTATGCAGTTGCATAATTCACATATAGGTGAAACCAACACTTGGGAGACACCCAGTGCAGTACCTACTCCTGACCCCTAAACTCTGTGTGTTACATGCTTCTGACTACTACCCTCTGTGTGTTACACTCCTGACTCCTGCCTTTGACTCGCACTCCTGGACCTTGCACTGTGTGTGTTATTCTGTCACCCTTGCCTGTGTGTTGCTCACTCCAGATCCCTGCATTCTGTGTTCAACACACACCCCTGACCCCTACATACATTTTGTGTGTTACACTTTTTTGACCCGTACGCACTCCTGACACATGCACTCTGTGTATTACCACTGAACCCTGCACTCTGTGTGGTACATACTCTTGACACCAATCTGTGTGTTACACTGTTATGACCCTGCATTCTGTGTTTACTCAACCAGATCCCCATTTTCTGTACTACACACCCTGACATTGCACTTTGTGTTACACTTTCTTAACTCCTGCACTGTTACACATTTGCACTCTGTGTGATTTTTCTGCACTCTGTGCATTACACACTCCTGACACCTGTACTCTGTGTGTTAACACACACCTGCAATCTGTGAAATTATCTCTTTTTTTTTTAAAAAATATTTATTGATTTTTCATATTATTTCCCTCCATCATAAAACACTTAAATATCCAAAACCATCTACCCCTCTAACCCTCCCTCCTCCCCCCACCATTCCCCCAGCCCCACCCCCCTCCTTCCCCTCTGCATTCTCCCCACTCTTTTCTATTAAAGCAAGAGGACCTTATCTATCATCCTAAATTATAACTTCCTATATTTCGCTTTCAATCCAGATTTTTCCAATTTTTCCCATTTCTCATAGTATAGCCCCATCTTGTCTTCCTGCATATGATAAAGTTTTTCCATCCTACTAATCTGATTCACTCTATTAACCCAGTCTTCCTCCTTCGGCACCTCTGTTTTCCGACAAAACGTGGGTATCAAGCCTTTTGCAGCATTTAGATAGTACCATATACCTGATTCTTTATATTTATTTAACGATAGCTCAGTATTATGTAAGAGACAAATCGTTGGATCCAACCCTATGTCAATCCCAGTTATCATTTCAATCAATTTAACTATTGACTTCCAGAAAACTTCCAGAGTTTTCGGACATTCCCACCATATGTGAAACACCGTGCCAATCCCTCCACACCCCCGCCAACACCACTTTGAATTCTCCACACTCATCCTGTGCTCAACATTCGATGTGATGTGCCATCTTGTCAAACACCTATGAATTTATTTCCACCTCTCTCATACTTACATTCTCGTGAGTTAATCTATTTATCTTTTTCTGTTTAAATCCTCATCTATAACCACCCCCATATCATTTTCCCATTTTGTTATAAAAATTAGCTTTGTATTCGTGTCTAATTCAGTGAGTATTCTATATACTTTGGCAATATCGTGCTTCCCATCCCCTCGTGTCTCCAACAACCTTTCAAACAAATTCCAATCCTTTTTTAATCTCAAGGGTTTCGGGAGAATCCCAATAAAACATTTTAATTGATGATATCTCCACTCATCTATCCTAATGAAGATCTCTCCCTTTTTCTCTTCCAAGTCTTTAAGTGGTCTCAATTCCCCCTCCACCAATATATCTCTAAATTGAACATCCTCCTTTTTAAACCATTTCCCTGTTATCTCGTCTCTGCCTGGAGGGAAAAACTCTGTGTTTCCTAGTGGCATTAATATAGAATTGAAATCCCACTTCATATTTTTGTGCAAATTATCCCAGACCCTTAAAACATTTAAAGTGTAAAGACTTGTGCTACCTTTAATTCCTCTATTCTGTGCTGGCACCCATATAATTTTACTCAAACTAGTTCCACTAAATTCATTTTCAAGAATATCCTATGAATTGTTAAGCAGGAATAAAGACAAGGGGGGATTGGGATTGCCAGATATTAAAAGATATTACAAAGCAGTAATTTTAGCAAGAATTTATGATTGGATGTATAATTCAAAAGGGAAAAGTTGGGTGTGAGGTACTTACTCTTGACACTTATGCTCTGTGCATTACACAATCCTGATCCCAGCAGTCTGTGTGTTACACTTTCATGACCCCTGCACTCTGTGTATTACACACTCTAGATCTCTGCACCCTGTGTACTACACACCCCTGACCCCTGTGCTCTGTGTATTACACACTCTAGATCTCTGCACCCTGTGTACTACATACCCTTGACCCCTGCGCTCTGTGTATTACACACTCTAGATCTCTGCACCCTGTGTACTACACACCCCTGACCCCTGTGCTCTGTGTATTACACACTCTAGATCTCTGCACCCTGTGTACTACATACCCTTGACCCCTGCGCTCTGTGTATTACACACTCTAGATCTCTGCACCCTGTGTACTACATACCCCTGACCCCTGCGCTCTGTGTATTACACACTCTAGATCCCTGCACCCTGTGTACTACACACCCCTGATCCCTGCGCTCTGTGTATTACACACTCTAGATCCCTGCACCCTGTGTACTACACACCCCTGATCCCTGCGCTCTGTGTATTACACACTCT